CGCTGGAGAAGGGAATATTTAACAGAACTCAGGGAATTTCATAGAAATAACAGAAATGGAGAAATAATTGTGTCCGTCGGGGATATAGTATTGGTGCAAGAGGAACACGTCAAAAGAAATTCATGGAAAATGGGAAAAATCGTGGAACTTTTGCAAGGGAAAGACGGTGTTGTTCGGGGTGCAAAGGTAAAAGTATGTGGTAGTGGTAAGTCAGAAATTTTATCTCGACCTTTGCAAAAACTTTTTCCTTTTGAACTTGCAAGAATGAACGAAATCGCAGGAAAAAGTACGGACATCGAGAGGAAAGAGAACGAAGTACGGGAACAGAATGCTTGTGAATTTTCACCTATTCCAATTTGTCCTAATCGCGTCGTAGAACCCCAGCGTAGGAAATCTAAACGCGCAGCAGGTCAGGATTCGCAGTGGAAAACCCGTTTGATGCTTGACTCTTAACGAGTCAAGGAGGGGAGTGTGTTCGGGTTTTCACGTAAATTTTCATTGCGTAGTCGATTAAGGTTTGGTTTAGTGTAATTAAGCCTTAAAATGTATCTTGTGACTTGGTGACGCAGCTTTTCTGTTTACCATATTTTCTAATTGCTTCGATTATAATAATTACACTTTCGTTTGAGCCAACTGACGTAAATTGAATAGAGCATCGTCATTGGTAGTTTATTTTGGATTAATTAGTTTACAGTATATATATAGAACGTTGAGATTTTATTATTGCGTGCGTGCAACTGGGGGTGGTTGTGCGAACCCAGCTGTGATTTGCTGAATAATATGACATGTGAAAAGCTCAAATGACTTTTTCTTCAGTGTTTTCTCTGGAATACAAAGTTTAAAAAGAATCAGCAAGATAGATCCTGAGAGGTCTAAAAAGGCACTGGGCACCGTCACTCGATCTTGTTCCGTTAGGAGACCGGGGATACAGTTTGTTGTCAATGAGGTGCCAAACTAAAAAGGGGGGTGTCCATATCTATACTTTTTATATGCAAAAAATAGTAAAACATCTGTATAATTTGAAAAAAAACACTGATAATGTATGAAAATTTGAAAGGATAGTGAAAAAACACAGTGAATATATGCACATAAACTGGGCAGAGGGCTGCTCAAAGCTTTCAGAAGTGACGAGTACTCCATTTATGCGGGGAAAGTGTCACCGAATCCGGATCCAGATCATTTTCGGTAGTTTTCGTAGTCGAAGATATTGTACCAAGTTTAGAATAACAAAGGCTGCCTTGACATTTCATGCAGCTCGAATACTAAACTTCCAAAAAGTTTTGCTGTCTTCAAGTGGCGGAGAAAGAGACACGAGAGAAATTGACGTATAAAGAGGACGAAGCGTAAAGCGTATTTGCACATGCAGAACACGATTATATGACAAATTGCTTTTTGTGAAGTCTGGAACGAATTCTCTACTTCTTTTATTCTGTAATGCGGGAAAATGCTGCCTAAATCGTAAGCCAACCAGGATCCCATTCCCTATTCAACGATTCAGTGGAAAAATCATTTCGCCTTTTCGTTAATAAGGGTATATTAAATAAGAGCTAATGCAAACAAACTCGTGTTAACTTTGTTGGAGCAAGCTTCGTACTTGGTTTATAATTATACACACAGCTTATACAATGGAATATTTTCTTAAATTAAGTGAATTGACAATGATCTTAGTGCTACGGGTCAGCTCAGGACAGTAATATATGTGCTTTGGCCAACAGATGAGATAATTCCAGATCTTTAACATTCTTGTGGGAGAAGAGACCGCCATTCCGCTGTCAACCGGAGAACAATAACGGTTTTGTCAATCTCAGGTCCATGTGGCTCCTCGAAAGGCATTGGTGCTGGTGTAAGTTAAGTGCCTCATGATCTAACCCAGGGTTGTCCAACCTTATATCAAGAAGGGCCACTTTCAGAATAACGCAGTAACTGGGGGGCCGCTTATATGTTTATCAAACAAAATCAAACACATAACAAAGTCATTTTGCTGAGCTCCGGAAAAAACGGTTGTCCGTGATAATTCGCAATTGCGTTTACCAAGTTCACTATCTCTCCCTCTTCCCCGCTTTTGAGAAACATGGCTTGTATCAATCTTGAACTTTTTAAACAAGCGCGGCGTGTTCATGGTTTGGGCACAACATAGAGGGTTGGGATCCCTTAGTTGAACTGGAAGTCGTCAAGTGTATGTGCGCGTAAATAATATGAAATAATAATATCGTAAATGATTTGAATCAGTTTCTCTCTTACAACCTGAATAAATACAATGCAGTTCTTTATCAACTTCGACCCAAGCACGGGCCATATCGGACAACATCACGGGCCACGCGTTGGACAAGCCTGATCTAACCTAACCATCTTCGGCTTTGAAAAACGTCAAAGATACCAGAAAAGAGACTAATATAAGCAATGCCGGGAAGAAAGAAGATTGCCGTATTGAAGAACTAGAAACGAAAACATTTTTTGGCGAAACGGAACTTGAAAATGGGTTTGAAAAAGCAAACATTTCACAACATACTAACTTTAAGCCTTTAGTCTGACACTCCTCAGAGTATAAAACGTCAGATAAGGTTCCGAAAGAACAAGATGTAAAATGTATACCCAGTTGTGGATCGAAATAGGCCAATCAGAAAAACGCAAGCACAAGACCGGCATAGTTGACCAATCAGTGCCGCGTGCCCAAAGAAAAATCACCACTGGAGTCTAAGAGAGAAAACGAACTTCTTCTGTCTACACAATATTGCCAGTATGTTGTGAAATGTTTGCCTTTTGAAGTAGAATTGTCATAAACTTCACCTAACTTTTATTATAAGGTAAAAAATAAATATCCAGTATTGAAATAACTATCACAGAAAAGCAGCACGGGTGCAGACAGGCCCGCCGCGAGTCTTTCTGGGGCCTGGACACTGATTTGTCCTGAGACTGGATCGAGCTTCTACTGTGACTCGAGTAGCGCCATCCGAGAAGAGGGCCCTAAGGGCAGCCCATGTTTTCAAGCAATGTTTTCAGCTGCTCCGGCCCTTTTCTTTTTCAGCACTAAGACACACAGCATTGCAGCTCTCGCATATTCATATTATTCAAGTATTGATTTTGAGAAATAGCTTCCTGATTTTGTTTTGAGGCCCTCCTCATTTTGAAATTGAGCAGGTTTGAAACTTAGGTGTTTAAGGACAACAGGAAGCTTGACCCAGTTATTTTATAGATCAGTAGGCCTGAGTCAAGAAGAAAGTCGAGTCCCGTAACTACGTAATTAATATTGTGATTGTTATTGTTATTTTAGGAAATCTTTGACCTACTACGTAATGACACTACTCTAGAGTCTCTAATAGAAGGGGGGAGGTAAAAGAGGGGGGTGTTCATTCCGGTCAATTTTCAATAGAAGGGGGTGCTAATAGAAGGGGGTCGTCATAGTTCATGTCGACCAGTTTTCAATAGAAGAGGGTGCTAATAGAAGGGGGTGTTCATGTCGGCAATCCTTTTTTTAAAATCGCAGTACCTTTTAGAATATACTGTCAAAATTGGTTTCATTTTTTGCATAGTTTTAGAGAAAATTGCAATCATACAAAGATGAATCAAACTTACAGCTTTTAACTTCCAAGCCAAAAATAAACTAATAATGAAAATCAAATGACTTGATTTGTAAAATCTAATAGAAGGGGGTGCTAATAAGCGACGGGGGGAGGGCAAATTCTTCTGAAATTAATACACGGGGGGCCGGTCTATTAGAGACACTAGAGTTAACCATAGATGTGAATTATGACCTATTGACCTCTCATTTCGATTGGGAAGAAATCTCCAAACTCTTTTGTGAAACTCTTCTGTGAAACTCTTCTTTGAAACTCTTCAAATGGATGAACTGTAACACAGAATAACTTGCAACACTATTCTGTCACTGCAACCACCTTTCGCAAGCAAATAACATAGGCACTATTTACAGTCTGACAAAGTGTGGGGCATTCTCATCCAACGAAAATGTTCGTTTGTTCGTCAAAGAAATAATAAAACATGGGTCAGTGTTGAGGCCAGCCAGTGAATGACTTGAATACATAAACGGAAAGGAGAGTATTCAAGCTGCTTCTTCAATAAAATTTAGATCTTCATAGCTGTAATAAGAGATTTGTCAAAACTGTCGGCCTTGACCTCAAAATGTACATTCTAATCAAAAAACCAATTAATTGCAAAATTTAATAAACTGTCCGATCGACTTTTTCCTTTACTTGGCAAATTGCAAAGACCAAAAATAGACGCTTTTTCTTAAATTATATTTCAAAGCAAGCAATCAACTTGAAAGCATGCAAATAATTTTTTTGAGGAAGAAAAGTTGGACTAGTAGCCAAAGGGAGGTATATTCACTGGCTGAACCATTTTGCATCTGTGCAAAAGAGACATCATGAGTGACATCATAAGTGGCATTTGCCATTGAGACCATGGGAGAAAGGCTTCTCAAAAATTAGGATCTTTGAGCAAGGAGTAAATGCAACGTAGGTAACGGAGGTCTCACTAAACGATTGCACCCAGTATTTGATATGTCTTTTATCAACGATGTGCTTCAGGGGCATCATATGGCATAAATGGAACAGGCATTGAAAAGGGTCTTTGATGACAAACAGTGATTTTGTCACTGGTGATAAAGTGGCTAGTATTCACGTATGAGCATGGTAAGTCTGTTTGGTGTGAGATCATTTTCAGTGGCAGGACATAATGCTAAATTAAACACAGGTATGAACTTACTGAGGTTCAACGTCATGACGACTGGTCGTAATCTGTATTGACTTGGAAACTGTACCAACCAACAAGTCTCGCATTTCGCACCAAGTTAATCAAACACTTGCGGTTGCTGATAAAAAGTGTACTTTTTGTATAATACGTCAGGAAGTCGACACTTTTAACATGGGCTTTTTCACGAACTTAAGTGTCACAACAATCTCGCCGAAGCAAGAGACAAGGCCTTCAAATATTTCTAAACTACACTTTATACAAAACAGACAAAAGAAATTCAGCAACGCAACTCGAGTTCAAAATTTGTCATATTTAAATTACAGAAATTGAGTTAACATGACTAAGAAACTATCCACTCACACAGGAGCTGCAATGCGAAGGAGCGGTGGTGATGCTTGCAAATGAGTTATAAATACATACAGAGAAATATCACTTGACATTTGTAGGGGGGAGAGTCCAGTTACAAATTATACAAGCTGAATTCATATTTACGCAGTTCTTACTTTGAAGGGTAGCGCTCGATGATCATTCCATGTCCCTAGAATAAAAGGAGAACTAAAATATAGATGAGAACATAGGGAGTTGTCGCCTGATAATCGTACCAGGGACGCCGGAGAGGGGGGGGGGTCAACCAACCCATTTGCCCTTTGATAGGAGGGGCAAGGTTGTTTAAGTGCCCTTTATTCATGACGACACCTCTCAAAGCTTGTAAACAATTTCCGTTACCGTTAATCCGTTACAATAAATACCGTTAATTGATGATTTTTAATCAAATGAGTATTGGATAAACTTCAGTATCAAACACAAGACGCAATGCAAACTGTATAATGGCATGAGAAAACAGCAACGTTTAGGGCGTTTATTGCAAACTGTTTTTCCAGTGCCAAGATGAGAAATTTTAGATGAACCATAAAGTGACAAATTATTTACAAAGCTTTTAACTTAAATAAACTTTACAGGAATCTGTTTTGCTGTGTTGGGAATAATCAGCATTTGTTAACTGTGAGTTTGGAGAAGCCTAAGGCAACCAAGAGCTGATCTGCTTTTCTTTCGATAAGGAAATTCGGCAGTAATTCCCAACAATCGATATTCTTTAAAGAACACAGAAACTGTCGTTCTGCTTATCAAAATCGGCGGGGTGACAAGTTATGATTTTGGTGGACCTAATGGCTACAAACTTTTTTAGCAGATAAGGATACTGGAATATAAAATTGATAAAATGACCGATTTAGAAGGAATAACCTTAATTATTTCCCATTTGGTAATTAAACGCAAACATGACGGATATGGCTCATATCTCTGTTATGAAGGATGTAAACGAAACAGGTATTAATGTCACAAGAAAGCGAGGAGTACCAAACAAGGGGCAATTCAGAGACAGAAATACTCACGTGTCCACCAGCCGCACACGCTGCAACCAAGGCTACGTTTTTATCTTCTTTTATTAATCTATTTGCCGCAGTTGTCACCAACCGACACCCGGTTGCTCCGAAAGGATGTCCAATCGATAAACTGCCTCCCCACAGGTTTAACTTCTCCATTGGGATTTGTCCAACCTGTGCAAAAAGGTAGACAAATAGAAATTATGACTGCCTTAGCAAGTTTAATATTACACAAATTGAAATGTTAATAAAAAAAATAAACAGAAAACATACAAACTAATATTGGGAATGGTCGCTTTGATAAACAACTGGCACGTTATTTCTGCTTCATCGTTTACATAAGAGAGTTCTAAAATAATTGATATATGACAGGCCTTTTAAAATAAAACATTCCGCAAATAAAAAAGATCTCAACACTGTTAAAACAAATTCTTACTTGGAAATGCATTGATTTATAGCAATTGGTTCTTTTTATGTTTAAAAAAACGATCAAATTGACGAATATAATCTGATCGGATAAAACCGGACCTTGGATTCTGCCTAACAAAGTCCTTAAAAATTCTCTTGGTAATGTGTGATCAAGTGTAAAAATGTGTAAAAAGTAGAGATGTTTACCTTTTCCTTTCTTCCCATAACATTTTTGCCAAACCAATCAGAATCCATTGCTTTTAAATTTGCTAAAATCTGACCCTGCAACAAGATAGGTAAATCATTTTTCAACTATCCTCAATAAAATGGCTGCGAAATGGGAAAGGATTAAGTAAAAGGTCCAACTACTCATTTATGCTAAAAGCGACAAAAGCAGCAAACAGGAAGTTCAAACTTGCACCAAGAAAAATTGTTTGCTTAAAAATGCAAAGGCAAGTTCTACAACTTCTCAAATGATTTAGAAAATGATAAGTTGTTTAGTACCACAATAGGACTGGAAACGAGTGACGTAAAATTAACATGAGACAAAGGTATGAAAGAGTTTTCCATAAAGACTTTTATGGTGAATTAATGTACTTCTTTAACAGTTATTATCTTGACTTTTCAATTTGTACTTCAATCAAGACCAAATATGAACGCCTTCCTAAACTCTATAGCTAGACAAAACAATGGCATCAGGCTTCGACTAGTCAAATCAATTGTACTACTGCTACTTAACTCTTCTCCTTCTCCTTCGCAAGGACGATGTTTATTACTCAGCGAAAGGCTTAAACCGATCACGTGTTTACTTTGTCAATCACATGTTCACTGACAACCTTAAAACATTTAAATATAGCAATATTGTAATGGAGGGGGGGGGATCAACCTGTGTGCAGGTTTTCTTACAATGCTTGCATGGATGATAGTTTCTGAGCTATCATGACAAAAATAAAACTCACAGCAAAAGCTTCGTGGATCTCAAAAACATCAACATCTGAAAGTTTTAGGCCAGCCTTGTTGAGAACATCTGGAACTGCATAGGTAGGTCTGAAATTGAGAGCGAAACTTGCAACTAAGTTCTCGTGAGAAGGGACGAAGTAAACATACAAAAGTTTACGCTTACTTTTAAGATTTAACATAAAACAATACCCTAGCATGTTGCAATAAAATCTCAAAGGTACTTGCGCAATCGACATGCTTAGCGGCAGCTGTCTTGCGAATTTGACTGTGTTTCGTACTTCCATGTAGTACGATATTAGGCCGGTTTTGAAAACATAGTCGCAAAAGCATGCCGGTTGCACAAAAGCCTTTAATCGGACCGTTTGGGACCGTAGCTATATAAGACCGTATCATGTTATTAAGAATGATTCAATCTATACTATATGAACACAGATAGTCTTTACAAAATTATAAGACCCGTTTGTAAGCTTTGAAAGAAATTAAGTACATTCCAATGCAGCTGCAATTCAGATATTTTTTCATTCAAATAAACTTTTTGGTTCTCAAGCATTTCTGTAAGCTTGCATAACTTTTCCGAAATTAAATCTGTCTTTATCTACTTCGTAATTTGTTTTTATATAATTTTGGTCCTTAAGGCCATTATGTGAGCTGTTTTGATGACACTGCGTGCAAAACCAATTTAAAAAACATTTTTGTTTGGAATTTGCAAAATGTTTTATAAATACAATAAAACTCCAACAGTCATAGAAATAAAATCATTATTAATCTAAAGTTTGTTTTTTTACAAAATTTTCTTCCCTATTGATCAATTACTTACAAATACGATAAAAGCATTTCAATCTACGTTTGATTAAATATTCTGCATCAACATAAGTGACTATTCTGTGATATATCCGAGGTCAAATGAGACTGTTGAAGGCAGTCTGTCCCTTCAATGATTGGCTAATTTGAACAATAGGTCTTCCCGCCTCAACGGATAACGGATTACGATGCTTGCTTTGGCTGGCCTAGTTGCGGTAGTAGATCACATTTGAAACTGCGTGCAAAAAGCTATCGATAATGGCAAGAAGATTTAATTACTGGAATTAAATGATGATAATGGAAGCATTTCTTTTAGCTGTTGACATGTCTGTCGCACAAACCAAACAGGGAGCCATATTTTTCTAGCTACAGCTTCACTACAACGGGAACACAGTCATTTGATTCAAAAGCTCTGGAATTTAAGTTGTCTCTGATTGGTTTAAATCGTTCTATTATCGATCAAGCTCGACAGTGTGTGAATTTCACTCCTGTGAAAATAAAGTTGAGCACAATAGGGGACACACTGCCTTTTACTGGCTCGAGCATATTTCTGAGAATGAACAACAAGAAGTGGAACAACCGGAAGCGAACAAAAAGTAAACGACCAGCGTATATAATGGTCAATGTGGTAAGTAGGATTTTCAAACAGATTTACCAATGATTTACTTACCCCAGAAGAAGCTGATCTTTCGGGTCGATTGCAACAAAGGTGAATTCCCTGTAAATACAATGCTTATTAGAATTCTAACCGATATTAAAGTAACAAAAACAGCAGGATAAATCAAGATGGTATGGGGCTCGAAACAAAAAAATGACATTGAATTCGGGATATCATTTTTATCCATCAAGCATTTGCTTGCTCACAAACCTTCATGAAATATTTGTTAACTGCGACTGCAAAATGTTCGAAGAATTACACAGAAGTGTGGAGAATCAAATAAAAAATGCGTAATTGCCTATCACAGACGAGGGGCAAATCACTCCGTGGAAATCTTGTAACCTTTGGCGGAAATCCAATTGTTTTATGTAAAATCTTTTGGCCAAATCTCGACAAAATTTGGCCAATCAAACTACGTCACAATGGAAGTAGAATACAATAGTTTTGAGTACCTGAGGTACGCTTTGGGTTTGAAGCCCAATTTAAGCGCTTTCTCTTCGGTCATGAGGAGAACAGCAGATGCTCCGTCGGTCTGAAATCAAAATGTGTAAACATTACATCGACACCTTGTACTGTAGGAAAGTTTGCCAATGATGCTCCACAATGAGAAGCAGTGAAAATTATTCAAAATGGGAAAGCAGATCATGAAACTGAGCTGAATTGGACAGAAGAAGTCGACAAAAGCAAGAATGGTCGAGGAAGCAATGTTGTTTGACATCTGACAAAAAGTTCTAAAAAAATGTAACCGAAAATCTGTGAAATTTGGAAGCAAATATAAAGAAACAAAGCATATATACCACGACATTAGTAGAATTCTAAACAAAACGGTGCAAAGCCCCCAATTATTCTGCTTGAAAATGCGAAACAAACTGCCCTCTCGTTTCAATGTTGCACCATACAGAGGCAAAGATGATAAAATAACAATTATAACGGCAGAAGATGATCGAAACCATTGCAGAAGACGAAATGCTTCTAAGTAGTATTGCAAGAATGGCGCTAGAAATTATTTTTTGCAAGGGATCACTCACTCTCCAAAACTATTGGCATCAAAGTTGAATCATCATAAAAATGAATGCTACGGTCCGACCAAATGAAAAATTTATCCTTCCGACCAACGGAAAGGTTGTGTGATTGCTAAATTAGCCTCACGAAGTGATTGCGAATTCATCCAGTTTTATTCCCCAATGTATAGCAAGTCTTTAATAGTCTTTTGGTGGTACAAAACTTGAAAATGGCTTTGAAAAAAGGAAAACATTTCAGTAAATTAAAGCCTTTCGTCTGACAGCCATTTTCAAGTTTTTAATCGTAAAACGACTTCTTAAACAAAAGAAAAAAGGAACATACCAAAAATGAGGCATTCGCAGCGGTAATTGTCCCATGGGGCTTTATGAATGCCGGTTTCAATTTAGCCATCTGCTCCATAGTAGAAACGCGGACACCATTGTCTAAAGTAACCGGGTTGGCTACACCTAGGGTAATTCAAACGAATTCCAGGTAAGGTACAGGATCACAAAGCATCCGGGCTGGGATAGGTTTACTCTAGTTCATACCACTACAAAGGGAAAATTAGCGATATTCTGTGCACTTTTAAGAAACATCTAAACGAATGTTTGTACATTCTAAGAAAACCACTGTTTCTTAATTTAGTAAGGAATGGCAAGAATAAATCATGCAATTTCTAAAACTGGTCATAAATTGAACTGAAGCACGGTCAGGCAAGATAAGTTTTAGAACTAAACTGATCATGCAAAATGTTTGAAAAGAAAATAGACAGAACTCGACTTATTAAAATGGTAAGCCAATCAAATATTCCAAACAATATTTCACGTAGAATTAGCATAGATGGGAACTAATTAATAAACAAAGTAATATTGACATTATGAAAGTATAGGGAAATAACAGAATAACAGAAGTCAGAAAAAACAGAAATATTATTAAAATATGAAAATTTGAAAATATAACCAACATACTACCTAGCAAAAAGTGGAAATGTTTATTCAATTGCAAAAAGTTAAAAGATTGAAGAGAGCAATTTATCGACGTTTTCGGTACAAGCATCATTTTAACAATCAGAAACTTGCTTGAACTTGGAACGTTAATTTCATATCTGCTTAAAGATTTTTGAAATTGTCAAAGATAGGGTTTTTAAAACAACGTCATATCTAAAGGAACGAATAAACATGGGTGTAAATGGAAACAAGGAAATTATTCAAATTACCTGGCACTTTGTATGGCAAAACATCGTCGAGTAACCCAGCCTACAAATGAAAAAGATTTCACTCTTAGTATTTAATGGCAGGTGGGGCAGATCGCAGATGTTATCAAAGAAAGGGCTCTGGACTTTATGCATTGAAAGAGATTACGGAAGTTGGTTTAAAATGCAAAAAACATATCATAATGATCTAAAAAAGCTTGTTATTACAACAAAACTTTAAATCAAGTGACAAATGAAAGGGTTAATTGACGTGAATAAAGTTATGAACCAAGACCAGAGGTTAAATGGGCCAAGAACCTGTGCTCACGTGGTCATATCTCAGCCAATTTGTAATACCTTTAACTGATTTTGCAGGTTTAGCGGTACTTCATGATGCCTTCTCAGGTTATGGGTCAAAAGTTCAGAAATATATTTTTCTGACGTCGTCACTTTGGTACTCTATAAGATTGGTCCAGAACACCATCCACGCAGAACTGTATACTTACAAATGCACAAAGCTTTATTATTAAAGTACGATTCATTGCTTCTTATGTGCCACAAGAAAATCGTCTTTTGATGTCAACATGAGATGACAAAATACAGAACTTACGTCTTGGGCCTTCTTAGCAAAAGTGTGTGAACGAATTCCGAACTCATCCTGAAAGGTAACAGTTTAAAGATCATCATACAAATTGTGTGTCTCCCTTTCTTCCACTTGCAATATTCCTAAATGGGTCTACTTAAGCGGGTATTCAATAAATACAATGTGCATTGAAATAACAACTGTAGAAAATGACAGAAAATCTTAAAATTTCAAAACAATAGCACCGACTGCTAAGCAACAACAAGCAAGGTGTGTCCACTTTCCATAGGGTTAAATGGTCGTCGAATAACACTACTGATACGTACAACTATCATTGATTCTGTCACACAAAGCATACAAAAAGACCAACCTGTTCCTGTCGGCTCACTTTGAATGCTGTGCAAAGTCTGAAAAAAAATTTAAAATATCAACTTAAGTCCTAAATCTCATTGGAATTTGGACCTCCAGGAGGGGATCCAATGTACCGTAGAAATGCCATTTCCCAATTTCTCATTGGCCTTTATCAATTACACCAGAATTTAGCATACACCGACTGGCAAGAAGAAAGTAACCAGGGGGGGGGGGGGAGGGGTGGAGCTTCATCTTTTTGTCAAGTCACGTTGCCAACGTTGCCATTATATGCTTCAGGTAGCGTTAGATTTTTACCTGTCTGCGCTGTGTCCCATGGTTTCGTTTGTTGAAAATTCGGCAATGGCAGGAAGCTACAACGAAACACAAAAATCGTCAAAATGCAATAAAAATTACTGAGGTACGTGGTGTGGGGGCGATCCACAAAAGCGTACGAGACGCTCGCCCAAGACAAAAGGAATTGAAGATAATCTTCAGATACAAAATAAAATTAAATAAATTCATTTTAAAATTAAAACGAATAGATTGGTTTCAACAATATTTCCAGCTTTCTGACGAAATTCCCAGAATTCGATGATCGGTGTGTTGGTAAGAGAGAGGGTTAACTATGAACTGATAAGCAAGGAAAATCATAAAACTGCATTCAAGTACCTCTGGTACAAGATGCTTGGGCCGCAAGGATGCCAACAACCCCAGCTTCGCTCCCATGGTTTTTGCCTGCAAAAAGCCAACATAAACATCATTAATTAAAGTCGATTTAAAAATATTGGTTATTGCAGCTAAAGTCATAAATGAGTTTTTTCTAAAAGCAATCTTGCTAATTAAGGTATTCAAAATTTCTGATAATTGCTAATAAAGTTTTTCATATATACATGAAAGAGAATTGACCGAGTACATGATCGGGAAAGGAGAAACGTAGTTGTAACAAATGTAGTTTTTTTAGTTGTAACAAATGGCCTGTTTATCGATAAGCTTGGTGGAAAAAGGAGATGAAGGAAAAAACAAAGCAGTCAGTGGAGTTGCAAGAATATTTCACTAAAGTAGACGAAATTGTGATATAAAAGATTGAAAATTAGAAAAGTGCCACTGTACAATATGAAGAGACCTTTGGCATTTGCATCATCTTTCCTCGCATTGATCTGTTGAATTTGATTGGTACATCCGACATGAAATCGACACCGCCTGCGATCGCCGTGTCAATCATTCCGGCTTGCATGAAACCAATCACTGTAAAGGGATAGAATATCACGTGATAGTTTGATGACAGTGGGAATATTCTCTGCCTGAACGCTCGTCTTAAAATGCTCCGTTATGACTTTTATCAGGACTAGGAAATTAGCTTACAAAAGACGCATCTTTGTGCAGTATGAATTGATCAACACATGCTCTATGAATTTGAGATGTCATTCTAAACGCCCCAAATTTCAAATCATAAATACATTTCAGGCTGCGGTTACTTAGTACAAGACAATCTTGCAGTTGAAAAAGCCTTACTTGTAGCAATCGCCTGGTTGGATGATATGCATGCCATTGTCACAGTGTGTGCAGGGATCCGGTCAGAAAACCCGGCACTCAGCATTGCCTACGAAAATCAAAACAAATCAGACCTTTCAATGCTACCTACAAAAGTATTCAATAAATAACGTGCTTATTACCTTCATGTATCTTCATATTTACATAATAGTTGCCAGTTGCCGAACACGGAAGATTTAAGCTGAATGCGTTCTATGTGTTACAAAAAGAGTTTATCTCTTTCATCGCTTTCGTAGTGAAGATGAAAAAGTTGGAGCAAATAAGGCAATATAGAAGTAATACTTTGCACATCATGAATAAAGAACATAGCGAGAATTCCTACAACAATTTCTTTCAATCAACCAAGAAAAAGTGCTAAAAACGCTGGGTAATTGAATGGAACAGTGAAGAAAGAAAGCTTTGCTAACGGATGCTAGTTGCCATCTGTTTGAACGACCAGCCTTAAGCTTGAACGATAAGTACAGACAAAAGAGAGGAGGGCATACCTCACGTGCGATATTTGTAGTTCTAGCTTCTTGGATGACAGTTCCAATACATACGTAATCAATATCATCTGAAAAACATTGCGAAAATGCGTCAACTGTCGCTTGAAGGCAACACTGCAAAGCATGGGTATGAGTAGGAAATGGTGGTGCATTCAATGCTAAGTTACGACTATTGAGTTGCTAAAGGTTCAGTTGACATGTTCAGGTGTTATTTGCCACTACATTAATGACTTAATGTGATGTGCAAGACTGAAATTGTACTCAATATCATAACACTGTATTGTTATTTCTATAAAAAACAAATCTGAAAAGCATTGAAATGATTCAATAAATTCAAGACAATACAAGGTACATTTAACCAAATATACTTTCTAAAAGCCTTCAATTTATCTTGCATACTAACAGTTAGACGTCACAAGTAACCACCCTATATTGTAAGCCATTTAGTTTTGCAATATTTTTGCAAACAATCTCATTTTCTAAACATGCTGAAAATACTTCACCTGGCTTAAGAATACTAAATCGGGCCATGAAAACAGATTTTGGACCTTTCTATGCAACTGTCACAAGTCCTAGCTTGACAGTGTCTTTAAGCCAATCGCAAAGGTGATCAAAATATTAGGTTGGTGTATGATTCAGGAGTCAATAATGAGGTTATTACTATAAACACTAAATTACCTTGTGACACTCCAGTTTTTTTCAGTATTCCTCTGAAAAATGAAAAACAACTGGTTAGCTATAACAACAAAGAACTTCTTATAACAAGCAGGGAAATATATTATAATCCTAATATAGATTTGCTTTATTGATACTATTAAACTCAAGCTATCCAAACTATAATAAATTGATACACTAAATACAAAAATGTCCAGCGTGACAACCTTTGGGACAAATCTTTGTCTGAAAATTTCAAAAATATCTTAAAAAACTTTTAAGGAAAAAATTTTAAAAACATGGATACAAAAACAAATTGGAGTCCCTTTTGGTCATGGGTCCCTTAGTCATCCAATTTATGTGTCCTAAACTTTTATAAGTCACTGTTCTTAAGATGTATTTCAGGCAACTGCAGCATTTTAAAAATCAAACTGTCCTTTTACCTAATCTGTAACATATTTACGAATCAAAATATCAAACATGATAATTACATGAATTTCAACATCTAAAAGCATAAAAAATTATTACAAATACATACAAAAGTGCTTCTCTTTGTAGGTCATGGGGCATCAAATTCTTGTATCTACGAAAGAAATGGCATATTTGCTTTAAAATTGTTTAAAAATGGCTTTCAAAAAAGCATACAGTATGTATGTTAAAGCTTTTCATCTGACACTCTTCAGAATATAAAACTGTTATTTTTAAATTGTTTCAAATTAAAACAAGCCTTTACAATGATTGTCACAAAGATATCTTCTTGTCTGAAATAAGATTGATATGTGATCACAAGATTGATATGTGACCTAGAGATCTTCTGCAATTGATCTAAATTGATCATAGTAAGTACAAATTGACTAGTTCAGTAATAGGAAAATATGTAAGCAGTGCGGGGGAGGTTCAAAACTATTGTTATTAGTCTCCCAAACAGGGCATTACTTTCAATTCTTGAAAGATGTAGAGTTGGCTTTTTCTTAAACTTTTTGAATTTGAATCAAATAGTTTGAAAGGGCGAAGGAAGTGCTTCTACATTTACAAAATCAGTTAAAAGTGCAACAAACAGGCTGAGACATGGCCATATCATTACAGGCCCTTCCCTCATCAAATCATAATAACATGGTCTCTGTTTTAACTCCAAGAACCAAATAAGAGAAACATGTTTTTCAACCGCAAATATTTCATGGGTCATAGAGCACTTAACTTTTAACTACTTATTTAGGGTCATATCAGTTCAACATGCTAGTGAAAGTTTGATTTACAAAAAATATTTGAATACGGTGCTTAATCAAATAATGCAGCAAAGAACAAAATGAGATTAGTAAAGTGGGTTTCCAGTCAGAAAATTCTATGATATAAGAACAAAGTTCAGTTTCAAGCATTTACAGATCTATCTGTTGCTAATATATGCTATTGAACATAAACTGAAGTATAGGATTTCTATGGGATTTCTACAAGTTACTTCAGTCTGTGTTAAAAGCAGTCCTGGCAGTATGAAATTTGGAAGCGTGCTGCTAATTGCATGCATTGAAAATTTTAAGCGTGCGATGGCATGCAATGTTGCCCTGTTGCCATTACTCTGTTTCCCTATGGGATGGGATTCAAATGAATCTGTTTTAGATTTTGAGTTTCCTAACCTAAGTTTTGGAATAAAAAAGAAAGTACGCCTCAGGAGTTTTAGGCATGTGTGGAGGCGTGCGTGTGCGATCACACGCCTAATATTACCAGCCCTGTAAAAGCAATGCTTCATTGAATAAATTGATGAAATATCACTTTTCCTATGGATTCATGACTTGTTGAACAAATAGGCAAATGGTAATAAAGTCTTATATATCATGAGGGTTCTTACTCTGTTCCTGAGACACAAAATGGAACCCTTGCACCATCTACCAGAACAATATTTTTGCCACCTGAAAAAGAAAAGAACCTTTGAGACCAAAAACTATTTGGACACAACAAACAATCTTTTAGTTGAGGCAATTGTCTATCAGTACACCCCAACATTGATTATTGCACTGATCAAACCTAACAAAGAGTTTTCTTATCTTTATATTCATCCTGTGATGACTTCAAGCCATATTTATATATATATATATACACTTGGTGAGCAAAAGTATTGCACAGGTTTGACAAATGAGTAATGGCAACCACGTTATAAACAACAAGACCATCAATATTAAAACCACTTTTATGAAGCCATTAGGCGTCTTTTTGTAGTTAAAAACCAATCAAATCAATTTTCAAACTGTTGGCAACACTTCTAATTTAAAGATTGAAAAAATTTACTTTTTCAAAAGTGAACAATTTTGACTTTTTATTGGACAGTCTTGCGGCTTTGAAACCTTTATGAGGCTTGCTGGAAGTTTGTCAGAAAGTTTTGTAACAGGTACTGTTTATTGTGACATGGTAAGTTCAGAAAAACATTTGCAAGATCACATTTAGGTGTTTGAGTACCAAGTTGATCATAAATGGCCTTGTATTTCGTGGAAAGTGGCATATTTTAAGCCATTTTATTAAGCCTACTTACTTTATTACAGCTACTGAGGCACCTGAGTGAACCTGCTTTTCACGGGAAATTTCATTGTAATGAGTTCATTGTAATAAGATAACACAAATTAGTGCAAAGATGAACTTTTTTATTGCAAATGTGTCACAGATATTTTAATCATCATGGCTCAATTTTTGTGATTTTGCAATTTTTGATATTGTTTAAAAATACTCAAAAATCAAGAATATTAATTTACTATTTCCAGCATCAAACCTCGATAAATCTTCTAACATATTCCAGTTAAAAAGTCATCTTATAACTTTTATGAAACTTGCTATGGCAACTTGAATTTTGGTTCGCTAAAAATTTTTGCTGCAGTGCCCCCATTTCTGTTTCAGCCTGCGCAATACTTTTGCTCACTAAGTGTATATATCGATATAGCCACACATCATTTTTAGGAACAACATCCAAGCAACTTCTTTACAATACTACCATATGCAGAAATATTGTTGCTGGTTAATAAAATAAAGAAGATACAAATGCTGTCTCTTGCAGGCAATAATTACCAATTAAATAATAATGTTGAGTGATACATACTTTTTTGTTTTAAAGAAGCTGATGCACTGAAACATCTTGTAGCAACTCCTAAAACATTGAGATGAAATGCATATAACATCTTTAGATAATATTTACTATCAAATTATAATCTGATATCCATAGAAAAGTCACATTTTAATTAAGAAATTAAATGTTAAGTAAAGCTAGGTCTAGACATTTTTTGTCGACTTTTTTCAACATATGTGGTTCAAAGAGGTGACCACTCACCACACCTATGGGAGCCAAGCTACAACAACACAAGACAAAACACATCAAAATGGCTTTGGCAGCACTTTAGAACTTAATCTTGATTGACGAATCCTATACTGGGGATCGACCATATACTGGGGCCCCAGGGGCGGCGTGGGGTGGTATTAAAGGTATTAGTCTAATACCTTTTTATTTTCAAAGGAAGGCGACTTATGGTCTCTGAGATTGCAGGAAATTTATTTTGCTTTTTGTACGCTGCCACTTTTTCACAACAATTTATCGATGCGACCAGCTCTATTCATATAGCCAAGCTATATTTGCTTTTCTGTTCGTTGAATGAAAGCTTTCCTAATCCTCATTGAAATCTTTGAAAAGTGTAATCCATGCCGTAATCAGCAGCCCTGGCCATGGTATTAGCCTCCAAAAACTAATACACTGCCCCGAAATTTCTTTTGTCTGTTGTGGTCTGCATGACGTGAACTTCTCTTGTTGAGCCATGGTAGAAGAATGGGTGAACAGCAGTAAGGTATTAGTTTTTCATTTCTAATACTACGAGGGCCACTGTCAGTGGAAGGGACGGTGGAAAGAGCCCCAGCTCTATTCTAAGGCCTCAGCTTATAGAAAAAATATTTCTGGAAATTAACTTTATGAATTTACAAAATGTAGCTGTACTTTTGCTAGCAATGCCTTTGGATGGATAATTTGATTGACAAAATTTAGACACTGAATATAAAGAGCAACAGTCATGAAATAATTTGTTTAAGCTAAAGGCAGTTGTAAAAGTTGTTTCGTATGAACTGTATGTTTTGTAAAACTTTGATTCTATATGACCGTAGAGTCACAGGCAACATTCTCACATTATTTCTCTCGGTTTCTCAAATCAAATGATACATCTTACGTTTTTTTGCTGCATTACTCTAAAGTAAATCGCTCGCTTTATCGTAATAGAATCTCATTCGCGGGCCAAAAGCCTCATGGTATTAGAATTAATGGGCTAATACCTTGGGGCTCCATTACTGGGCAGCAAACCGCTGTATCAAAACACGATTTCGCTCGAGTAATTTGCCGCAGCCATAATTCATTTGTATTTCGTAGGACCGATCCTTCACCCAAAACTAGTAGGATGAACTACATTACCACAGGGTCATCAGTGTCTGGGGGGAGACAACGGGGGCCAGTGCCTTCAAATAGTTTTGTAAGATATGGTATTGCCAAAGCTATTTTAAACCATCATATCGAAAAAGTCATTTTGCCCACCTTCTTAAATAAGAACATATAAGCTCCACCCCTGTTAAATAGTTTCAGGACCTTGCGGAGGGACCTTCTTATGTCTTAATTTCGGAGCCTAAATACCAATACTTTTCTACTCCCAGCCGCCCCTGTGGGGCCCCCTATACTGGAGAAAACTTTATCAACATTGCTCAACTGGGCAGTCTGTTAGCTGATTGGACTGGAGCCCAAAATGATATAACCTTGCCTTTTCATCAAAACTAGCAAATCTTTATCCATTCTAGACACGTTATCTCAGCTAAACTGAGCCTGAAATCCTCCAGAGAATACCAAAGTAAACAATGGCTGGAAAATATTCCCATTTGAGATTTTTAGCAATGCAATGCCAATGCGTAAGGAGGGTTTTCAAATGTGCATTTTTGCTGCTTTCCTAAAAATATTGTGTGCAATAGTTACAAGTTTGTGCCATACTTTTACATATACAGAAAATCAATAAGTAGCACAGATGTAAAATATTCTGGTACTTTGTCCTTTAGAAACGTTTATGTCATGGCAAAATAACTGAGCAATTTCGCGTTAAATACGTTCGTCAATAAACAATTCAATGTGCATCGAACTTTCTAACTCACCAAATACTTGCTGTGTCTTGTACCCTTTAAATGCAGTTGATATAAGTGTCCTTGAGGCCATTTTTCTGGAGAAGCGACACAAAACTCGTGCGTATAGGCCCAAAGTGACCGAAGGAGAAGCAAACGGACTTTGATCTTCAAGTTCCAGCCTCGCTTTTAATAAGAACAAGCGTATTGTGACGTCAAACAGGGCTGATTCAATTTCTCAATAAAATTATTATGATAGAATCTAGTGAAAACTCTGTCAATTGGCAACAAGGAAATATTGAAAGTTTTACTCTTATAATTGAACAATTCAATGGACGTATTCAGCAAGCATCTTCTACCCCCCATATTATTCCACAGTTTTTTAACTGTAGTTAGAGGCAGTGGTGTAGTGCTACCAAAAAAACAAGAGGGGCTCTTGCCCAAAATTTTGCGAAAAACAATAGCAAAAATAGAGATTTGGCAATTTTCGGCATCAACAAGGGAAGCTCAGCCCTCCTGAGCCTCCCTTGCTCTACACCCCCTGGTTAGAGGTTATAAAGCTCTCTTTGTTCAAATAACTTTTAATGTGAAAATTTTAAAGCAGATACTTTACAGAACTTCTGTTAATTTTCATTCTTTGTTTCAAGCTCAAGGAAGAGGCTGTCACATGAAACAGAGAGCGAGAAAGGGATGCTTTTCCTGTTCTTAAAATAACGTAACTTTTATTTTCTCCTCTTTTGCTTTTCATCGCCACTCAAAATTGGTCTCTCTATAAGATAAGCTTCCCTTGTTACTAGAGAGTAAGTTGCATGTGTTCTACATGTTCAATTTGGAGAGTTCAAGGGTTGTAGTCAGATAAGACGCAAGACTACACTGGTTAAACCCATAAAGGTAGCTACCTATAAAGCCAATGAGGGTTGCAAACATAAGTACAGGCTTCGTTGAGGGTTGGGGGTTTGAGCCTCGACGGGAATTTTTTAGTGAGAGGGGCGAGCCAGCCCTTGCAGTTTTTTGATGCAAAGCTAACATTTTGGCAAGCAACAAATACAGCATACCAATTGATTTTCATGATGAAAAATCAAAATGTGCTATTGGAAGTCAAGACTCTATTAGCAGGACGTCTAATTGTCATTTATTCAGTTTGGCATTGACCGTAAGCACCTTGCGAACAGTATAAGCCTCGTCTTTATAAACATATTTTTACAATACAAACTCTGAGCCAACCTTTGAGAAAACTAAAAGTCGGTACCCAAGGTAGCACAAGCTCTTGTACTTAAGTCTATATTTATATGCATTTCGCCAAAATTAGCTTAGGCAACGTTTTTGATTTCCCATTTTATAGATTGGACTCTCCCTTGAACCAAATTCTTCACAAGTCGGGTAAAATTTTCATCCTGTTAATAAAACAATTTGAAGATAGCATATTGCTGTACAAAAAACCTATTTGACACCTCTCCGTGTTGATTTGATATGAAGCACCAATTTTTGTGCGAACTGTATGACCTTCTTCGGGCTATCGTGACAGCCATAATCCGCATGGAAGGAAGCCAAAACTTCACGAAGGTAACCCTCAAAATAATGGTCCTGAGAGGACATTGCTAGCCTTCTATGAATCATGAGGCCCACGGAGGCCCACGGAGGCCCACGGAGGCCCACGGAGGACCACGGAGGACCACGGAGGCCCACGGAGGCCCAAGGAGGCCCACGGAGGCCCACGGAGGCCCACGGAGGCCCACGGAGGCCCACGGAGGCCCACGGAGACCCACGGAGGCCCACGGAGACCCACGGAGGCACATAGAGAACCACGAAGGGCCATGGAGGATCCAAGACGAATAAATAGCATTCGCTTTAGTACGTTGTTTTTATAGTTTCATTGTTAGTATCATAAATAATCATCAATATCTAAAAAACATCTATAAATAAAATTAAAAAGAACATGGTCTAAAAGAAATAAAAGCACAGCATAAAAACTTAGATTTATATCGTGTACAGAGGAGTTCAGCATTGGCGGCATGCGGACGTATAAAGCCAATGTATTCATTTGAAAACATGGGAAAATATCAGCAAATGTTTTCTTTACTGTAGGGGAGGGGGGAGAGGGGGTGTCAATTTGAAGAATTACAGTTAAGAGCATTGAGGCTTAACAAAAATACGATGCAAAAAAATGCTTACGACCATAGGCGGAAAACAGCCGTTGTTAGCCACCATTAAAAAATCCTTAACATTTTGCAACTTTTTGCTATTTTTGAAATTCATACGGGGGATGGGTTTGAAAATCGTAACAGAAAATTTTATGAGTGAGTCAAGGAATGGAGGTCTTGTTGTTGTAACAGGGGTGGATTTAAAAAATGTCAGGGGAAATGACGACGAAACAGCTTTGGCTATTAAAAACCACGCAGTCAGCTCGTTAACAAAACAACGGTGATCCCGATCGATATGAGCCCGCGTCAATAACTACAGACGCCTTGGCCTTTGTAATCAATGCTTAACTGTTATCTCTAGTTTTAAGATTTTCAAACAACGATAGTAAACACAAAATCAACACTTTCCAATTTTAATAAAAGTCAAGAGCTTTAAAATAAAACAGACACTAAAAATTACCAGGCTAAAGCTAAAACCACTAGAAGCGCTTAAAAACCTATGACATAACAAACTTAACAAAAACGTTTTTAATAGATCCCTTTTACTGGGGGTGGGGTCGGGTGTTTGGGGGCCGGGCGGGCTCATATGAACGGGAATTTTCCAATACTCAGCTGGATAGCAAAGGGTAAATTGTTGAAAATCTCAATAAATAGATAGGGGGTTTCAACAAAGAAATGTCATTTGAAAACACCCCCACGGACTAAGAACCCAGACCCGAACAAATAGGTATACTTAAATCGAACATATTTTCCCCTAAACATGTGACATTGGAACTGTTAAGATTTAGAATCACAGAACTGCGATTAGCAAAAAGCAGGAGTTCTGCTACGCACAAAAAGTTATGTTCTGTGTCATACGGCAACCAAATAAATGAATACGAGGCATTTAAAACAGCGCGAAACTATTAAGACTACGGGCTGACTGCAGCCAACAAAAATCAATTGTACATGATGCCCAGGATAACTGTATCAAATTTGCTTAAATCTGCTCCGCTGACATGACATTATCTCAAAAACATACCAAAGGAAACCAACCACTGATTTTTATTTATAAATTAACATGGCACCAGTCCAAGCAATCCCAAAATGCAATTCATGCGTTCAGTTGGCGTGAGCCGCGCCGAAAGGAACGGTGTCCCAATGTGTCAGTGAAACCTAGAGGAAGAAAAGCGTGATGATCAATATCTTTTTGGATATACTTTAGTTTAGTTATTTCTAACATACTTAAAAAAATCAATTACATATAACAACAAAGAAAAGAAGCTTTGTCGAAAATACTAAAAATCCTTGGTAATACTAAAAACAGCATTTCAAATAGGCAATTAGAAAACCTCGTATATTTAATACCTATTACTGGCAATGCGATTACGATAATATGGACGTAACGCAAGCTTATAAATAAACAGTGATTTCGCACATTTATTGTGCTAAGCTGTTTTTAGTACAGCTGTTTCTTGTCCAAGACAACCCTTTAGGCCCATAGCTTCCATCTTGGTATGCTACAGAGGCACGTCAGCATGTTTTACATGCGATTTAATATCCGAGAATTTTCCTCATTTCACAAGGGCTGTGAATCAACTTGCCTTAATTCCCCAACAAATGTTCAACATTTTGTTGTTAACAAAGAATTTCTGCATATACTAGATAAAAAAACTTTTATACTCACTAAATTATTACATTTCAATGTTCGTCCGGGCCTCTCGTTTCAGCAGCATCTTTCAGCGCCTAAAATAGCCACAAACATTGCCATCATTTGGGCTCATATTAGGGAATCCAGAAGGAAATTAGCACGGCTTCAAAAACGCTACACTCCAAAAACAGGGTCTTTAATATACTCTACCTATAGTAGAGTGTAATTGTTGGGGAGACAAGCAAGCATTTGCTCGAGGATCTGTTGCTTTTAAACTTTTGCATCATATGCACCTACGCAGCTAAAATCACTAAGGTTTTTTTTACATCGCATATTGTATTGAATAGGCCAGCCTCGAATCAAAAGACGAAGAAAACAAAGAGAAAGGGTGTAATGAGAATCAATATCTGGTTTATATGATGCGACCATGATATAAAATATTTTTGATAAAATGCTATGGAGCACCATGAGGTGTTAAGTATGTTCACCAGCTATCGTCCTAAGGCACATGCGCATATGATGCATTGTCTTAATTGGTTCCGACAATGGACAGAATAAAGGCCCTAAAGAAGTGAACTTGCCTCCCAAATAAGAATCATCAAGAAGTGCCTGCTTAATCGATCACAAGAATTACTTTGATAGTAATTGAGTAATATAAAACCATAATCCTCACCTGCTGTAACTCTTCGTTGATTTCGCCTTCGCCCGATATAACGATCTTCTGCTCCGTTGACGTCGTTATTAGCTCAGTGGTCTGCAGTAAGGTAATGAAGTTGCTATAATAAGGGGGTATATGCCATGATGTTGGCAGTGTTGAATGCAGGTTGCAACAATGTAATTGCAAAAGAAATTAAAGGGTATCTATCTGCTTGAGAGTCGAGGTAAAACTACCAAAGGTTGGGGTTGCACAAAGGCGAAGTCGTTGCAATGGCGTTCGAGGCTACTGGCTTTAATCTACCACAAAGTCGATGGATTCGCAATTGTTTTAAAAGTTGCTCATAAGATCAAGTCTCATCCTTTATCCTATACGTTTCTGTGCTGATAGCTTGTATGAAGTTACTCCTACCTACTTTTAAATGACAAATCTTTCAAAAGATATTTAACATATAAATAGAAGATTTTTACTTACGATGGTTTTCGATATCGTCGTTTCGCTTGTCGTAACAGAATCGCTACTAATCATTCGCTCAAATTCTTCCGTGGTACCCCCGTCACTGGCGATGACTACAGTTCGGGTTTCTACTTCTGGCGGGTATTGCTGCGTAGAAACGACCTCCCGCGTTTCAATCACCGTCGTACCTGTGGAAGGGGAGGTCGTTATGGTTTGGGTTACTACATCAGGGGGTGGTGTAGGGAACGTTTCGTCGGTGATGTCCATCGATGTGCTGGGTGCCGCATCCGAATGGTTGATGACATCG